TTACAGAATCCACATATTCCTGCCAGTTTTAATATGTATTTTGTAATCAACAAGTGTGTAACCCCGGTCAAAGTTTGACACTTCTCGGGCCATTATCTCCGTAACCGTTCAACTTTGGACATAGGTGTTTTGGGTTATATCGGCATACTTTAACATAAGGAACACCCTCCCGAAGTTTGGCACATTCCTCCTGGGACACCCTGTATATAACCTAAAAATTACAATAGTTGTGCATTACTGGTGATGAACTCAGGCATCTTAATGGTATTTTGTAAGTAAACAATATGGAATTTGATGGATTGAGCATTAAAGGTGAAATAAACTTTTTTTTTTTTTTAAATATTTGTCTGCATTCAACCCTACTGCAGCTCTCAAAATAAAACCTGATGCACTTTGTTGTTTTATGGGAAATATCAACCAAATACTGATTTCAATTACGTGTAACTACAGGAATGTTATTTCTCTCATACTGACACTCAGTAAAGCTAATAAATTTGGAGTATGATGCTCATAACTTGCCAGTCTTCAGGTGCAAACATCAGGATGGAGAGTTTGACTTAAAATATTAAGCAAAGAGAAAAGTGAAACAGATTGTCGTTTTTTTTAATAAAAAACTGCCCCTCATGACATTTCATTCAAATTTAGGATATCTTGAGAACTGTGACTAAAACATTGCTGTTTCCACCTAAGTGAGGCATCTGACTAGAATCTGTAACAATACATAATCTCTGGAAATGGTTATATACATTGCCTTATCATATACAGTTAAACACTGTTAGTGCGATTTGCACAAGAACAAGAACGATGGATAAAGTCCGAAAACCCAGTATCTCTAACAATAAATGTTGTATTAATAAAGGTCAAGATGTCCACATGCTAAAGTGCTACACCATGAATATATAGTGGGAAGCTGAGGTAAATCTCCACACATTCTTAACCTTTGTACTAGATGAAAATGATTGGGTCAGCTTTATGATGTGACCTGTTTGGCTCCAACATCTATAGGACAGGAGGCAGTGTGGGCCCCACAGTCAACCTAGGTGTAGTGTCAAAGAGAAAAACATGCTGCCTCTGCCAGGAGTAAAACCAAGCTGTCCAGGCTGTAGCCACTCACTAACATTCTAATGAGGAATGTACCATTTGCTGGTACATTCTCATCAGTGACCCATATTTATAATGTTCAATTTGTATGGTTTCAATCCATCTTTTAAAAAATAATGCATGATTATATACAACACCATCTTGCATATGGCACTGAAATTCATGGGGTTCACCTTTTTTTTCTTTCCAGTGGTGGCATTGGGGAAGAGATAGATGTTGGTCAAAACAGTGCATTAAAAGAAGAATTAAAACAACTGAATGAAGAAGAGACATCCAACAGATTCACTTCAGTGTTACAGTTTACAAGAGAGTCTCTTTCACAGTTGGTATCAGATATTGAAAAGAAAGACAAAAAAAGAAACTCAGGAACAGAAAATTGTACATCTAAGAAACAGGGGGATAAGAACAAAGCAGAAGTAAAGGATAAATTTAATTCAGTTAAGAGTGGCTGTAAAGAAACAAACAGTGCAGAACAATTGGAATTCCAAGATGGAACAGTAGAAAATGTTCATACAGACAAAGCAGAACAAACCAAGAAAACTTACAACACAACTGAGAGACAAAATGTTCAGAATTCTCAGGAAGGTAGTAACAGAACAGAACAGCCTGATAAAAGCACTGAAAAGAGGGGTGAAATCTCAAATAATTTCAGATATGTTGCATGTGAGAGTAGCATAATTCATACAGTCAAAGAAAACGAAGCCTATGATATTTTAAGCAATTCTCCAAAATCAGTATGTAGTAAAATACAAAAATCAATACCCAAGAAAAGAGAGTCAAACAAAAAATCTTTGAATATTCCTTGTATGACAAATGCAGTAATTTATATTGAAAAATGTCTGTATGATTGGTTCACAATTGAATCAATGTGTTTTCTTTTTGGAAAAGAAAAGCTTAAAGAAATGGTACAAGAAAAGGGGGACTGCATAAAGGAGTATTATAAGGGGACACACAATGCTTCATGGGATTCCAAAACCCAAGAGCAATACTTGGCCATCTGCCGCCACTTGAATATCTTAGAGATTGAAGATCAAGAGTATGATCATCAAATAGTAACAAAGCCTCTTCCAGATTATAGCGCAGTGAGAGAAGAAGCAAAGAAAATGGATCTTAAAGTAAGGTCATATTATCAGGGCAAGACAGTGTATGAAGATGTAGACAGCATAAGCATTTCTGAAACAGACAGTGATTCTACACCTGTACTACCATTGGTTGATCTCCATGCCCAGAATGCTCTCCGCAGAAGAATTGTGTTGGATCGTCTGAATCGAATGTAAGATAATTCTTCTAGTTATTTAGTTGAAAACAACAAAAAGCATATCTTCTATAATGCTAGAGGAACTCTTGCAGCAATGAGTATGACTTGGAGGATACAGGAAATTACACAGTGGAAAATGTCTTACATCTTCCTCAAAATTAAGGGAGAGTAAAACTGCATATACAGTTTGTTAACTGTTAATTTAACTGCTTACCCACTAATGATAAGCCAGACTCAAGGGCAAAGAGTTATTCCACGACACTTCCTTTCAATTTCATGCCACTTAATTGCATTTCCCAGGTCCCAGACAATGCTACTTTAGGAAGGGCATAGGGGGGCTAATATTTCCACTTCAACATATGAACATTTTAAATGCAAAGAACCCTGTTATAGCTGTGAATTGTGCGATGATAGCATGCATGGTTACAACACAAGAACATGCACATACAAATGGTAGGATATAATTTTACAGCCGCACAAAAGATGAATAAGTGCAGTTATGTGCTGTCTGTTCTCTGTAAAGTGCACTAGAAGGGGAGTAAAAGTTTTAGCTAATAGCTATTTTGCATGAATTATGAAAGTAGCCATGTCTTAATTATTTTTTTTATTTCATGCATCCTGTTGTGTTATATACATAATTTATTTATTAAAACCATCACAACACAACTATATTAAGGTCCGTGCCTAGTTTGGCTCTGCTACATGTTTCGGCTATTAAAAGTCATCTTCAGGCAAATACATGGCTAATATATATACATGACTGAACTGCAGTACTAATAAAATTTGATACAATAATATTAATTATATTAAAATACTTGGCATAAAAATACAATAAATTAGATTATGTTGTAACGTGTTTTCGTTACTGAATACGCTGTAGAGATCGTTAATTGGTTTATTCAACAACCTACAAGTAACGGCTACAATTAATTATCACACAGTTGCGGGGTTTCACACTTTATAACCCTAATCGCAATAATCTGTTACCACTGTTGCAGGGTTTCACACTTTATAACCCTATGCACAAATCAGTTCACTCTGTCTTCAGTGGTCTACACGTTTACAGTAGGGGAGCTTTGTATCACTGTATCACACGCTCCCAGTTACACAATCACACACACGTCCGGTTCTTCTTTCCGCGACGGCTGCTATATTCCAACTGTAGTCTGCTCACTGGAGAACTGTTGATAACACACTCGCTCGTAGGCTTGCTCGGAACTCGTAACTAGAGAACTCGAGAACTGACTCGGAACTAACTGTGAATAGCCTTTGCTGCCCCTTATGTAGCCTCGTTCTGGACAACACAGAATACGGCCACGTAATAGGCACCATTGTTGTCTGGTGCCATGTTACTAGCAACGCTGTACGGAGTTGTTTACTGCTGCCTAGCAACCGCGGTATCCCTTTATGACATCACCGCTGTTGACTCGCTTTGCATAGCTACCAGGATGCTGGGACTCGGCACGTCAGCTCCCGAGGAGGGGGCATCCAGCAAGCACGACACGTCACAATATAAAACAAAAGTTATAGTATAAAACAAGAATAAAATTCTTTGATTGGTGCTTTACATCAGGTATGTCCAACTTCAAACAGGTTGTGATCGACTTTTTAGTGTCAAAACTAACACAACACATGATGTTTGTTGTAAAAGCAACATACATTGAAAGTACAGACTGCTTTAACACATATTTTCCCATCAAAATCTGAATATAATCATATTATATTACAAGTGAATTTACATGCTTTTCACGTATAATTTCCTTATAGACCTATGAGATCAACCAAAAATTGACCCATGATCGACGCGTTGGACATGCCTGCTTTACATCATTGAGTCAGTCGTTGGTTTTTATGATTTTGTTGTGTTCCTACGGACAAATTGGAGTTTTCTATATTTTGTATATATATAATAAACTGTTTTGCAGACTCTTGATGTAGATGTAATAATATTAATAGCCGAAACATGTAGCAGAGCCAAAGTAGGCACTGACCTTGATATAGTTGTGTTGTGATGGTTTTAATAAATAAATTATATGCCTTAATTACATTACTTGGCACCTAAGATAGACACATACCAGTGTTCACATTAACATACAGGTATTTTTCTTAAATTTAACAGTAAAATGGATTAACATGATTTCTTGATTTCAGACTTCTAGGCGATTTCTGTACATGCAAGGTGACTTAATTTTTCAGTTGACACAATGTGATGTAAGCTATAAGTTTTCCCTTCAAAGCCATGAAAGGCCCCAAGAAAATTCAACAGACATTTACTGTAGTTCATACTGCCAAAAACTAACATCCCAAGAATCATGTACCCAATTTTAAAGAATATTATTTCATTTATACTTCAGAATAACTGAAAATATCTGTCCCATTCTGAGGATCTTGTTTTGTACAATGTGCTAAAATATGTAACCAACCATAATTGCCAGAAAATAATATGTATATATTCCTTTTCAGTTTACCTGATTTACTACGGACATTTGGTTTATCATCACGTGATATCAGTGGAGACGTTCGAAGTCTTGTTACCACCTTCACATTTGGAGCCAACAACATCACTTTCAAACCACCTGAATGGAGTCTGATTGGCCTTATCATTATTAAAATGTAAGTTCACTATTTCTGCGCCATTTTAGATGCATTATGTAGCTAAGTTATTTAAACTCCATGGCCTGTAGTTTGCAAGTGGTGAACTATACCGACCGAGCGACCATTGCTTGTCGGCGAAGTTAGTGCCAACTTTAGCAGATAGAGGGTGTCATGTGGTCAGTGCAACAGATCCACAAGGCCATTAATCTTGGTTTTCTAGACTGGAGCTGCTATTTCCTTGAAACAGCTCCTCAATTATCCTCTGAGGCTGAGTGGTCCCCATTCCAGACCCATTACTTCTCAGAAAATCTGGTAGCTCCAGGAATCAAACCACTAGACCACAGACCATTTGCAGTATTGAATTATCTTTAAAGAAAACTTGAGGTAAAAATATAGGATGTTCTGCAACATCTGAGGATGTGTTATATTTATTAATGGATGACGGTTATTTGTAATTTTCCATACTTAACTGGTCTTTATGTTTATTTATGGTAGGTATAAATGTATCATTCACAGAAACTCACGACTGTAAAGCCTGTCCTACCGTAGATATCACACCCTTGGATGTTACTAACACCCCACGTAACATTACCAATTCTTAATAAGATACACCCTCTCCTACACAGGCCCTCAAAGAAGCAAAAACCAAAGTACAATATTGAAGACTTTCTGCTATATTTGAATAGCTGTGTACCTATATAAGGATGACATGAAATATCCCCATATTTGAGTTTGCTGCTTCTTTTGCAGGTTGTCCATAAAGGATATGAGATTACAAATTCTTCTGGACAATGAGCAAGTGATAAAGTACACAACCATGATGCTAATGAGTTTTCAGCAAGATGGAGGCTACTTGGATAGACTGCTGGCTTGGTTGACAGATATAGACAATTTATTGCGCAAGCAATAAAGAACATGTTTGTTTTTACCAGAACACAGTGACAGACCAATCATCCAAATTGATCTGTGACAAGAGTAGTTCAGATAATCAAGTATTTGGATAATTGGATTAAATTCTTATTTATGAAAAAAACACTTTTATAAGAATATTATAATGTATTGTACTATTATAAAAATGAAAAGTAAAAAAAAAACTTCTAAAACACGTGATACATGAAAAATTAATGCATTTAATTATGCATTAACATTTTAAAATACTTTTTTATTAGTCAAACACTTATGTTTATTTAACAGATGCATTCGTTGGTTGTGGTGATTTGGTTAATCAGTAATTCCGATAATCGGCATTCTACTGTACATAAGACAGACTTGATTGTCAGTTGTGGAATTTAAAAAATAAATGAACATATTAAAAAACGTAAGTAAAACGTTGCCATGTAGAGTCTTCACGCCAGATGACAATCTGTCTGTACATGATCATATCATCATCATGCATTAGGCTATGATTGGTCTGTTCTGTGCTCGTGAAAAGTATGTTGGTCCCTCCACCTTTACTGATGATGTTTTATATTTCGTTGTCCTACTGAATTGCATGTTAAAATTTTCCTTGGAATTCATCTATATTCCATTTATAGACTGTGATGTTTCTACTGTGATCTGGGGCAATTCTTTGTGGTTATGTCCAACAAATTGAACATATACAGAATCTGTATTTAAGTAACAATTTCTTCATAAAAAAAACAACAGCAATTACAGATATGTAGGCCTAGAACTCTATGCAACAGGAAATTATGCTTCATGAGTTCTGCTCATATGATCCTGTTGTCAGTTGTGACTAAACCCTGTTCTGTATACAACTTCACAGCAATCAGCATGTTGTGAAATGGGTGATATGAAATGATACATGTTCTGTGAAGAGAAGTGTGTGAAGTTGGAGAGAGAGCCACATAAACCAATGAAATGCCTAAATATGTAATCAGTGAAGAAATTCTCAGCCAGAGTGGAACATTTGAGTGTTCCGTTTAAAAAGGGCAGAATTTCCAGCAAAACTGATCCATGTTCCAACCACCTCCACCATCCTACACTGACCAAACATGTGTTTGTGAGAGAATGTATAGTGTCAGTCAATAAAACGTTGTATTTAGATATGCTGAAACAGCTGCAACAAGAGTTTGATGGAAATGTCCCAAAAAAATGGAAGTCAAGTTTGAGGATGTTGCATCATGACTACATACTGGTTCACTAAGCACTTTTCATAAGGAAAAATTATTGAACAAGCACAGTATTTCATTGGTTCCCCATTAACCTCATTCATGGATTTAGGATCTAATGACTTTTCTTTTTGTTTCTAAAACTGAAAGTGACCCAGAATCAATATGGTGCAAACCCAGTGACTATCCAAATTGTAGCACAGGAAATAAACATCACCCTGAAAGAATAGTATCAGAACTGCATCAAATCAGAGAACTGCTGAAATTATGGTGTTCAGTAAAGAAGAGAATATTTTAAGAGGATAAAAACACAAATACTCAGTCCCAGAATTAACAGTCTTCCCTCACATATGCTCGTTAGTGCAGAATGCTCAATTTCTAATTGAAGTCTTGCTAAGTTAACTGACATATTATTAAATAATGCAAAATATATTTACGGTGTAAATTTCTAACATACAGTAACTTATATACAAATTCGGGTCTTATATTACTAAAATCTGTGCTTCAGATTCCATGAGGTTTATTGTAATATTCCAGTCTTCTGAGTCAACTGAACCCTCTCATTAGGGACCACAACTTCCGAGTCACTTCAATTCCAAATTGACTGGGGACAGTCTATCACTATAATCCATTATGCTGCAATAAGACATGCTTTTGGTCAATACATTTTAAAAACACCTGTTTTTCACTTGTGAAAATTTGGAGAATAGGTATATCATAATGACCACTCATCGGGGCTGGTGGAATCTTGATGTTGCTCTCCAAGTGATGACAAATTCCCCCCCCCCCCNAAAAATTAAAGAGATGTTCTTGTTTTGAGTGAAGCATCTGACACGTATATGAACAATGCAGTACGAGAGATATGTCATACGCAGTGTGTCCATGTTCTGTTAGGACTGTGTTCATTAAAAATACAAGATGTGAATTATTTTCAAATTTTCACTCTTTGTATTCAAAATAGTCTTCTGAATCAATACATAGCTGGAATTGAATGAAAAGTTTTCGAAAACAGTCACTGTACTTCTTTTGTGGAATCGCATTTAAAACTGCGGTAGATTCCCTTTGGAAGTCCTGGATGGTGTCGTGATGGTCTCCTTTCATCGTCAACTTAACTTTTGGGAACAACCAGAAATCTGCTGGAGCCAAACCTGGCGAATATGGAGGATGATCAAGGACTGTGATCCCTTTTCTGGCCAAAAAATCACTTACAACCTTCGATTTGTGGGGTGGGGCATTATCGTGGAGGAGCAACCAGGAACCTTGCTCTTGATATCCAGGTTGAATTTGAAGAATTCTCACCCACAAATGATTGAGGACTCCAAGATAATAATCAGAATTCACTGTTTGACCTTCTGGCACAAATTCCTTGTGAAAGATTCCTTTGGAATCGAAGAAAACAGCAGTGTCTTTACTCAACTCTTTTGCATGCGCACTTTCTTTGGTTTCAGCTTCTTTGGGATCAACCACACTGCTCTCTGCCGCTTTGTGAGAGGCTCATATTGAAAACACCAGTAACAATCGATTTTGTAAATTTTGTATCACTTTGGGCTGACCGTAACATGTCTTTGCAGTGTTCCACTCTGGCATGTTTTTCATCACCTGACAGCATGTGCGGTACAAACCATGCACAGACCTTCCATTTGCCCAAATCCTCAGTCAAAATTTGATGCACAGTACTTTTTGGTATTCCCAAAAGCTCCTCGATGAGTCTTGCAGAAAGACATCTGTCTGATGCAAGGATTTTGGTCACTTTTTTTCTCACATTTTCTTCAGTGCGACTTGTTCTCGGCTTTGATGCACGTGGAACATCTTCAATGTCCTCTCTGCTGTCACGAAATACAGCATTCCATCGAAAAATGTTTGAGTGACTCAAATAATCACTACCATACACACTTTTCATCATTTTGTATGCTTCTCTGGCTGTTTTGCCTAACTTAAAACAAAATTTGATGTTGGCTCTCTGTTCAACCACCATTTTCTGACGAGCATCAGAACAGTACTGTTATATTCAAGGTCAGAACACATGATGCAGCGATGCTTGCGCTTTGAAATTATAGACAGCCACAGCTGAAACTTCAAGAATCTTAACACCAGAACTTGCGAACAGGTGGCATTGCAGTGCAAAATAAAAAAAAAAGGGTCCTAACGGATCCTGGACACACAGTGTATGATCTTAAAAGAAACTGTGGTAATTGTAGATGGTCAGTTACAAGAATAAATCTTTTATCATCACATGGACAAGACAAAAAAGAATTCATACAAAAATAAAAGGTATGTAAAATGTGCAGCCCCAGATGGGAACTTTGGTTGGCCCTGCTACTTATTATGGAACTGCCAACAAAAACTGGACATAAATCTCTATGGAGATGCTGGGAAAAATGTTGAATGAAAAGGGAAACACACCAGCACCATTTTGACAACAGGAGGTAAACTTGTATACAGTATTGTAATAAATTGCTTTAAGAATTTAATAACATTTCACTGTAAAATAGTTACACATTTTGAACATTTCATATAAGCCACAACAATACAATAATGCTATGATTTGAGACAGAGACATGAAGCTTCATGGATCATAGAACAAACTGTATCTTTTAACATACCGCAAAGGTGAACCATTCATTCATACAAAATAAAGCATACAGGCGCTACAAAATGATACAATACCTGAAAAATACAACAGAGTTTGACTTTGGGATGAACATCCTTGGCAGCATACACTTTCATGAGTATCACTGTAACACTGAGCACTTCCAAATTACATACTTCTATGCCAGAATATTAAAAATGTGACAGTGCAAACCATATATTTAGCATACTGAAATCATAACAAAGAAAGGTGTTTGCTTATGTTTGAACTGGGCAATCAATCCAACGAACTGATCTGTCACACTGATAAATACTGAAATTTCACCATCAAATATGACACTATGAATTGAACAAAGCTGACATGGTTAATAATTCCAGTTGTTTGCAGTTCTGATATATATCAAAGAATGTTTACACTTGTTACCAAACAAAAACCAGTTTCTTATATATGATTCAAATGGAAATTTTTATTTGGCAACAACAAATTTAATTTATTCTATCTTACATTAATATATGGCTTGAGCACCTTAAGGAGAATAAAGGCCCACACTTCTGCTGGGATATGAAAAATATCTGTAAAGCTTACTTTTACATTCTTGTATTTATGACAATAAAATGCCCTGGGTATCAGAGAGAGCCAGGCTGATGTCTGAGAACCGCCTCTGTATGACCTATGAGGAACTTCAAAACTAGTCTTGCAACATTATGCAGCCTAGATTAAAGCTTGAACTTCCTGGCCACTACAATCAGCCTGGTAGCTAATGCTCAGTACTCACCATTATTATAATTAGTTTTCATTCTCCTCAGCCCTCTTCCTCTGGTATACTATTATCTGCAGCTGCTATGTCCATACTGGCTGACTGTTGTGATGTTACAGGCTGCTGTTGATCTGCTGAAGGCTGTTCTGGCTGATCCACTATCACCTGCAGACAAATAACAAAATTAGTACATATACAACCTAAGATGAACCACTACCTTACAAACTTTTCCATACAATTTTGTGGGGTACAGACCCGTTGCTAAGTGGTGACTGTAAACAACAGCCATTACTATGCGATAATCAAATAAATAAACATCTGTTTCTATGCAATAGTCAAGGTATTGTTGGACTATAACAATGGAAATGCTGTTCTCTGTGTTGTTTGTGCCAAAAAGTTATAAGCAGGGTCAGTCGAGTTCTGGAGTTTTCAGCAGTTCAGCTGAATGAAGGGACGTGACGTGGAAACAGCTAGTAGAGACTGTAATAGACTGAGGACACTAGTCTGTGTCGGTCAGTAATTTGTAAAGTGTAGCTCTCAGCAGTGTGTACAAGTGGCCAATAAATCTAATTCATCCAATGTATACCCTGTCTATTGTCACTCCCTTAAATCATGACAGGATGTAAGTCTTGAAGCTTTCACAATGGATAGGTTTACTAAAATCTCCTCAGAAGATCACCTATTTCAATGTTGAGTTAAAAACCAATGTTTCAGGGATGTCCTGCATCATCATCTTCAGGGTCAATGTGGTGAATGACCCCACACACACACACACACACACCAGTCTGTCAAATCAATGCATAAACCTGCTGGTATACTATGCAGCAGCAGGGCGGATCTATGAGGAAAATCCCAAGAAAACAAACACAGGAAAGAGCATGCTATGAAGAAGACAAAATAACTGACAACAGGAATATAAGATTAAGTAACATGGTGATGGGTTAGAGTCAGATGGGTGACTGCACAATTTGACTCAGCCCTCCTGACACATAGTACACCAACAGGATGACGTACCAATTTGTCAGACTGGTATATGCAGGATGTCCTAGGAGGAAAGGGCAATATTCTGGGATTGGTCATTCTAAGAGAAAAAAAAACTGCATTATGTACATTTCCTATTCTAAGTGGTTTCTAAGATAAAGCCATTTCACTGTACAGCAGTTATTGCCCACATAAAGGAATGTCAAGATGCACTGAGATGAGCAACATGCCACACCATCACACAAAGCTGCAAAGTGGACTGATGTTGACGGTGGAATTTGCAAAAATGTGTCATACTAGGTTAAACTGTACCAACTTTGTCACTTGAACAATAAATACCAGTACTAGAAAAAGTATGTAATACCTCTTTCTTACCAACAATTTTGGAACCGTACAGTGAATACAGTGAAATACGTAGCACATCCACAAAGTAAGTTTCCCCACTCATCCCACAGCTAGCAAACCTTTATATTGCGCGAAGCGACTGCGCGTACGTGATAGAGCAATGACGTNAAGTATGTAATACCTCTTTCTTATCAACAATTTTGGAACCGTGCAGTGAATACAGTGAAATACGTAGCACGTCCACAAAGTAAGTTTCCCCACTCATCCCACAGCTAGCACAGTCGCGAAGCGACTGCGCGTACGTGATAGAGCAATGACGTAGCATGGCGCATGCACAAACGGAATTTCCCGCGTTCCCACAGTAGCATCGTTGCAGCTGTTGAAGATGGAAGCTCTTATTCCAACTCCCACCGACTGTGAAGTGCAGCCAGTGATAAAGTTTTTGAATGCACAGAGCATAGCGCCGATCGAAATTCGTCAGCTGTGCTGGGTCTATGGGCCTAACGTCATGAGCAAGCAGATGGTGTGTCGCTGGTGCAGACAATTTTCAGCAGGCAGACAAAGTGTGCATGATGAGAAGCGCAGTGGGCGGCCATCCATCAATACAGACGACCTGGTGGAGCTTGTGCAGGAACACATTATGGAGAATCATTGCGTCACAATTGCGAAACTCAGCTGTCATGTCCCACAGATTTCCCGCACCTTGTTGCACGAAATTGTCACGGAGCACCTGTTGTTCAGGAAATTATGCGCCAGGTGTGTACCGAAGCAACTGACACCAGAACACAAAACAAAGCGCATGGAGTCAGCATTGACCTTTTTGCAGCGGTACCATGATGACGGCGACGAGTTTCTGGACCGGATCATCACAGGTGATGAAACATGGATTGCACACAGTACCCCAGAAACCAAGCAGCAGTCAATGCATTGGCGTCACAGTGGATCTCCCTGTAAGACGAAATTCAAGCAGACGTCGGCACGGAAAGTGATGTGCACGGTATTCTGGGACAGACGGGGTGATCTCCANGTGGTTCCAGTCCCAGGCGGCAGACTTCTACGACACAGGTATTCAAAAGTTGGTCCCACGGTATGACAAATGTCTCAATTCTGGTGCCGATTATGTTGAAAAATAGCTGAACACTTGCTGTATCTGTTGCAATAAATATTTCCATGAAATTGTGTTTTATTTCTGCAAACAGCCCCAGGGAAACTTACTCTGTGGACGAGCCTCATAGCTCTATCTCAGAAACTGTCTGGAACAGGACACATATACACATACACTTTATGCTTAGATGACCAATACTATGACCTCCCAGAATACTGACCTTTCCTCATGGGATACTACATATCAGTGAATGGTCATTCACAACATCGAACCTGCTGATGAAGACTTGAGATCTCTGAACATTGGTTCTCAACACTAACACTGCTATTGCCTGAGAAGGTTTCAGCACTTTTCCATACAAAATGCCATTGTAAGAAAAAGATTCTGGGGAATTGTAAGATTAAATACAAGAACTACACCCTTAAATGTAATAAAATTAGTTAGAAGTTTTTTGTTAACTGGAATGTGAAAATAATGTACTTGATTGACAATATGTCTCCAGCACACTTATAAAAACAATTTCCCACAAATAATTCCTAATCACTTTTCTACTTATAAACTCTACACAAGAAAATATTCTCTTAATTCTTAATTCAATAGTAGATTCACTAATCCAGACTTACTTGTAAATTCTTCATCCCCACATCCTTGCCACTCAAAATGCCTGACAGAGATCCTTCAGCTGAACCCAGAGACTCTGATAATGGTGAACTGTGAGGACTAAAACTGGGCTTATCTGCTGACCCTGCAGAAATGACACTGACTTCATGGGCTGCACTGCTGTCTGGTGACCTTGAACCTTTCACCTTGCTAGTCTTCTCTGCTATATCCAACTGATGGTACAATTCCAATACGTGACTTTCCATTCTTTGTCTGATGGCACGATGCGTATCACACTTGCTTTCAACTGCCTGTTTTATGGAGAAAAACATGACATGGGATTCATTTTGAACTAATCTGTTTTTATCAACAAACTTTCTTATTTTCCCATAAGGGATGCATGACTGTGATTCAAAAGGAGAAACTGTGGTTGACACTTTCCAGCCATTCCCATTGTTACACACAGCACAGCAAGCTTGAACATGTTAAATGAAGCAACAGAAAGATTAAGTACCTCTAACTTCTTTTGATATTCCTCCTTAACCTGTTTCAAAATCCGTTTCTGATCAGCAATAATCATATCTCGTCGTGTCACCACAGAATCCAGTTCAATAATCCGTGCCTTTGCAGCTTCCAGGAGAGAGTTCCGTGATTCCAGCATCTCATTAACTCCTGTGTGCAACAAAATGCTATGAAACAAATGCAAGTGAAAGAAATGTTACATCATCTTATAAGACTTCAAAATATCACAGCAAATAGTTAAGATAAATTTGCTCAAATATTTCAGAAGGATTAATGGGTGAAGTTAACCTTCTGGCAAAAAAAAAATTACTGGTGGTCAGACAAGTTCAGCAGATCACCCAAGAAACAAAAACTAAGTCTGTAAAGGACAAGTCCAAAATCTACAAGACTCAAAAATAGAATGAATGTCAAAACCAAAGTTCAAAATCATGTTGACCTGCTCTTTGGTCTCAAAGAAGTTATCCATTATGAACCTTCTTCCTCTAAAACAAGTCTATATAATAACTTGGCTTTTAAGAAAATAAATACCATGATATATTGCACTCACCTGATCCCCTCCACCAGAAGCTAAATATCTCTTTCAAAGGGTCTCATTTTGAAGGGAATATGAACAATTTGATGACAGAATATACTCATAAAGTCAGAATACAAGTACAGTACTTTGAAGGTGCCTACTTACTTACTTACTTATGAAGCTGAGTCCTTCTTGAGGAGAAGCCAAATCTGCGGCTACTCAAGAATTTCCCAGCATTTTATGGAACCCAAAGGTTCATAACCATCTTCACAAGAGCCCTCCACCGGTCCCTATCCTGAGCCAGATCAATCCAATCCATACCATCCCATCCTGTCTCTCTAAGATCCATTCTAATATTGTCCACCCACCTACGCCTTGGTCTTCCCCATGGTCTCTGTTCTTCTCACTTTCCCACAAATATCTTATATGCATTCATCTTCTCCCCCATTTGTGCTATATGCCCTGCCCACCTCATCCTCCTTGACTTTATCATTCTAATTATACTTGGAGAAGAGTACAAGTTATGAAGGTCCTCATTATGCAGTTTTCTCCACCCTCCTGTCACTTCATCCCTCTTTGGTACAAATATTCTCCTTCAAGGTGCCTAAACACACTAAAGTTTAGAGAAAATATATTTTGGTTTTACAGAATCAGTGTGGTTATTTAATAACAAGATCTCATATCAGTTGCCTGTGATTCTATGAGCTAAAAGCCAAAATGAACAAGGCAATATTAAACAATTTATGTTTCCTCAAGTAACATTATTTGGGCCATAAATAAAGATTAGAATAAAATAAATCTCCAATTAAAGAGTGCATCTCCTGGAATGTGATACACTGTAGTCTGGTAGAGGTTTACAGATATTCTGGAAGACAGCAATGAGAACCTCTAGTATCACAAACCCCAGTTATTTAATTTTAGTGGTAAATGAATTCAGTGACAAACCTTTGAGTTCTTCACGGTAAGAGTGATGCAAATGTGCCTGCTCTTCTTCATAATGCCTGAGGAGTGGTAGCTGAGAGAAACGATCTCTGTACTTCTGCTGCAGCTCTCCCATCAGAATGAGTTCCTTCTGTAACTCTTCCAGGTTGCTGCGTAACTGCTGTCCTGCACTTGCCTCTGCTACTGCATGTTGCATTTCATTTGTAACTTCAAAGAACACTGATTTCACTTGCTGCAATTCCTACACAAACAGCATACAGCATTAAAAATACTTTCAGTGGCACATCAGTGCAATATCTACAAAAGTATCACATGCTAACTACCAGGGTCGTACTGAAAGTCATGAGCAACATTTTTTTGTAAAGTAACATGCTTTATTATTGACAACCAAATACACCCCCCTCAATCTACAGACCTTTCTTTATTTTTCCACATAATCGCCAATTCTTTGTACACATTTCTCTCAGCGTTCTGGGAGTTTGAAAATTCCCCTTCTGTAAAATTCCATTCCAGCCATCCGAAGACACTGACGCACTGCTTTCTGAATTGCCTCTCTTGTCTCAAAACGTTGTCCACGCAGCTGATCCTTCACAAATCCGAAAAGATGGTAGTCGGAGGGTGCCAGATCAGGGCTATAGGAGGGGTGTGGAAGAACTTCCCACCCCATCTTTGCAATTGCTTCCAATGTGAGGCGAGCGTTGTCATGCAGGATTATGATGTTTCGTCCTGGACGTTTATCGCGCAATGCGCGACGGAGCTTGTGGAGCATCTGGACATAACAAGCAGCATTGATGGTTTGCCCAGGTTCCAGGAATCCGGCCAGAATAAACCCTTCTGCATCCCAGAAGACTGTGCCCATCACCTTCGCAGCTGATGGCATTGTCTTTTGCCTTCTTTTTTGATGGAGAATGCAAATTATGCCATTCCATACTCTGTGCTGTTTCGTTTCAGGCTCGAAATGGTGAAACCAGCTTTCATCACCTGTCACAATACAGAGCAAAAAATCATCGCCTTCATGTCGATATCTCTGCAGCAGTTCTGAGGTGATGGCTTTCACTGACCTTTGCGATCTTCGGTCAATAACCGCGGGACCCAACGAGCACAAACTTTCCTATAGCCCAAGCTTTCAATCATCTCCTGTACTGCACTGTGCCCTATTCCAAGTTTTCGGGCTATTGTGTCCAGTCACACGCCTGTCATCTAGAATGATCTCATCCACTCTTTCCTTGTTGCGTTCAGTTGAGGCTGTTTGAGGACGACCGCTCCGAGGCTCATCCTCGGTGCTGGTATTCCCATCTTTAAAATGTTTCACCCATCTTCAAACACTGCTCACACCCATGCACACACTTCCATAAGCACACTGAAGTCTCTGGTGAATTTCTGCAAAAGGGATTTCCTCTTTCACAAGAAATTCGATGACAGCAAGTTGGCGAAACGATATATCGCTGTCAGCCATTTTCTTAGGAGTGATACTGGTCATGTGATGCCAGCTATTGACGTCATAAGACACTCAAGGTTAACACAACAGCTGGTTCCACCTATCACCATACTCTCTTTCGTCTGCTGTTCCCAGGTTGCGTGCAAAAAAAAAAGTTGCAAATGACTTTCAGTACGACCTACGTATTTTCTTTGCTTCAGTTTCTCTATTTTCACCACACAGAACTGTTACTACCTGCCAATTTCCATCTCTAACTGTCAGCATATTTAAATGTGATCAGTAGCTGTCTGGAACACCGAATGAGAACATAAGTCTATTTAGACCCAAGAGGAAGGAAGTGAAAAAGACTGGGAGAAAACTGCATAGCGAGGAACGTCACAATTTGTATTATTCACCAGATGTTAGGGAAATAAAATCAAAAGAGGATGAGATGGGTGAAGCACACAGAATGCATGTGAGTTCTGACAAATGCATACAAACTTTTGGTCAGAAAGCCTGAAGGGAAGAGACCACTTGGAAGTCACAGGTACAGATGGAAGGATACTAAAATGGATCTTAAAGAAACAGGGTGTGAAATGGATTCATTTTGCACAGGACAAGGATGAGAGGCAGGATCTTGTGATTATGATAATAAACCTTCGGGTTCCATAAAAGGTGTGGAATTTCTGAACTGGTTGAGTGATGACAGGCTTCTCAAGGACTTTGGTGCATGTAATCGCTCCATATTCAAAACAGAGCTCAGGGCCAAGTTCAGTTGTGAAATGAAATATACTGTCAAATGAAGACTTTCATTATACAACACAAGTATTCCTCATTTTATGAATACTCAATTTATAAAGTTTTGCTACAACAAAACATGTTAATTTGTACCTGTTTTTCACTTAATGTACTTCATTTTCACCATAATAAATTTTGGTGACAGTTACATGTGAAGTAATGGTAATTTCATTTTTGATTTACAAATATTGACCTTACAAACAGTTTTCATGGAATGAATTACCTTCATAAATTGAAGGATACCTGCATTTTCATAAAGTATTCATCATAGAGAAAATGTCATATGATCTAATGAATATTGGTTTTATAAGACCATGAAAAACAATGAAAGAGTAGAAAGATTTCACATGGCAGATTCAGTGTTGGACAAAAGGAGAAGTGGAAGTCATCTTTTGACTAGAGGGATGTTGTGTGAAACAAGCTGGATTAGTAGTTAGCCACCCTAAGTCACTGTCCTGCTTGGCTATATGATGTGATACAGAATTATAAGGCTTCTTTTGGACTTTATCCATCGTCTGGTATATATAAGACAAAAAACCACAATGTTTCAGAGACTGGATGTCTCCGTCCTCAGGTGGATGGGGCAGGATAGACCTACTCAGTTTTGCCCATCAGAAAGAGCTAGTCTCAATCACTCTTTCTAACGGGCCCAACTGAATAGGTCTATCCTGCCCCATCCACCTGAGGATGGAGACAGATCCAGTCTCCGAAACTTTGTGGTTTTTTGTCTTATATATATCAGACGATGGATAAAGCCCAAAATAAGCCTTATAGTTCTGTACAGCATACACCATTGTCAGAATCCTTCCAAGTCTATAATGTGATGTTCCCAAAAACCTCACTTTACATTGCAACAAAATTATTAAAGCTATGGGCCTACACAACTGAGTCAGTTCAGCTGAAACACACATTTCTGTTTCTGAATTTAAAGTCTCATCTCTTCTATCTTCACAGTGTTTGAATGATGTTAATCCTCCACTGAGAGGTGCATGTTGGCAATAAAACCATAAGACTAGTAACAGAGATGAATGAGACATACAATGGGGTACCCAAAAGAAACCGAACTGATTTTTTTGTGGGCAGAGATTTTGTAGTACCGCGTTTTGCTGCTATGAGCGCATAGAGCTAACATTCCTGAGTCGATAAGCCGACTACCGTTGCTTCAGAAGGTAAGGACTAGTTTCGGCAGAGTTTATAGTGACAACGATTTTGTGTGATCATTGTTTTTGCAATGGCTGATTTTCGTGAACAGCGTGCGGCAGTGAAATTCTGCTTTTTGCTCGGGAAAAGTGGAACAGAAACTCTTGAAATGTTAAAAACGGCGTACAAGGACGATGCTATGGGGAAAACTCATGTGCTTGAGTTGGTTTCCCATTTCAAAAATGGTGAAATGTCAATTGATGACAAACCTTGTTCTGGTCGTCCTTCCACGGCCCGAACACATGAAAATGTTGAAAAAATTTGTGAAATCATCAAAGAAGATTGATGACAGACCACTGAAGAAATTGTGGAGCTGTCGGGAGTGACTTGGAGCTCAGTTCAGCGAATTTTGACAGAAGATTTGGGAATGAAAAGGGTGGCTGTGAAATTCGTGCCACGACTGCTGACTGCTGAACAAAAACAAGGTCGCGTGGAAGCATGCTGTGCTTTGAAAGAGGAGTCCCGAAATGATCGAAACTTTTTTTTGTTTCCTCGAATGAAAAGAGACATGAAAGGAAAGCGTTTTGATGATGTTGCTGAGGTTAAGGAAAAACGACGGAGGTGCTGTCAAGCATCTCAAAAGATGAATTTAGACAATGTTTTGAAAAATGGAATAAAAGACTAGACAAGTGTATTAGTGTAAGTGGAGAGTACTTTGANGCAGTGGTCCACGATACTTCCCCCATCTACCGGAGGAATTGGAAACTACTTGGGCAGGAAACTTTGCCTAATTTTGCTCAGAGGTCTCCTAGAGACATGGGGATCTTTTACGTGCCGTAAATCTAAGACACGGGACACACGGCTTAAAGTCCCTCCTGGAGGACTTGTTCCCTGAATTTTTCCGCCCTTAAAAATTCCATGACCTCTGCCGGGTTTGAACCCGCGTACCTTGAGTCATGAGGTGGGAACATTAACCCTAGACTACAGAGGCCGCTAGCTTCCCACCGCAGCAGCCCGGGTTTGATCCCAGGTCTGGTCAAGTGGGATTTGTGGTGGACAAAGTAGCACTGGGGCAGGTTTTCTCCGAGTACTTCGGTTTCCCCTGCCAATCTTCGTTCCAACAATTGCTCCATAATCACCCCCACCTATCATCTGGGGCTGGTACAATAAGCCAGAAGTGGTCGCAGTGCAAGGAACTTAGTCCCACCCAACTAGCAATAAAAAAAAATAATATTAATGTATTGCAGCAAACCATGGACTGTTTACATCTTTGTATATATATTAATATTTCAAATTTTATATAAAACTGCATATATTCCACTACAGAATAATGAAATGTGGCAGCAAAGATCAAGAAACTAAAATATTGAATATAAGAATCCATGTGCTTAAAGTATGTAAATAAGTATATGAGAAAAAAATGTCAAAGGCGAACATTAAAAACATGACTTCAGGACGTGGTTACCCATTGTGTTTCTAATTTAGTGGAAGATTAACTTAAATGCATGTGGTTTACCAATTAAATCAAAATTACCTTCATATTCGTTGTTGCCTTTTCCTTTGCTTGCTTCAGTTCGTGTTCTAACAATTCATTCTTACGCCTAAGCTCCTTGATATCTTTCTGATGAGTATTACACTGTAACACAAATGGCACAATTAAACCTCTCATTATGTACACTAAAACATATGTAAATTTAAGAAAAAATATCTGGTGTGCATATATCGTAGCCATTACATGACTATACGTGAACATAAATCTCATTACTGAAAAAGTTCAATAATGATAATCCATTTATTTCAGAAAAACGTACCTGGCTTTGCCAGTAGTTGATCGTTTCCTGCAATTGCTGTTCTGTTATCTGCACCTCCTTCTTTTTCTTTTCACGTTCATTGTACAAATTCTCAATATCCTTCTGAAGCAAACTCAACTGATCACGCTAAGAAAAATAAAAAATAAACCAAATAAGACAATACAGTTCCATTAAATTTATGGAAATGATGTTACAAGGGAGGTGAGCTAGTTCCAATCCTTTCCTGTTCGTGACTGTTCTTTCTGTTTCTGTACTACACATAATAAGCCACTGTTTATTTGTCCTAATGTGTTACTGCTTCCTACACAATATTTTCATACTTTCTAATTTTCTTAAAACAGTCACATATGGAAAAAAAAAACTGCCATTCTTCTATGACTTAATGATAGAGTAAAGAGAATCATATTCAACACCAACAAAGAAACTAACCAATGCAGAATTATGTTCCTCTAGTGCTCTATTTGATCTAGATTTTCCAAGCAGTCTTCGATTCCTCTCTGCATGAGCTTCTCTTCTGTGCCTTTCAAACTGCAGCTGGATGTTAAGTAATGTCAGCTGTTCTTTCACAGTCTTTAACTCACTTTCCAAACCTGCAGAATTAAAATTTTGATTAGCCATGCAAGCCTCATCATAATTAGATGCCATGCCCACATTATGACAATGAAGATGACTTTTGGGATATGATGCCAGGTACTGTGGTGACTGTTACCACTTTTTGGAGGAACATACTACCTCCATAGGAACTGGGATAGCGCAGTCGGTATAGCAACTGGCTATGGGCTGAACAAACATGGGGTCAGAGTTCAAGTCCCGGTAGGGTCAAGAATTTTCTCTTCTGCATGTCATTCAGACTGGCTCTGGGATCCACCCAACCTCCTATCCAGTACATACCAGGAGCTCTTTCCCCGGGGGATACAGCAGCCAGGGCGTGAAGCTGACCACTAACCTCCAGCTAGTGCTGAGGTCAAGAAATCATGGGTCTATACATCCACTTCCCAATACATCTTCATGGTGTAGTGCTTAATTAGTTAAGTACAGGGACAACTTTACCTGTTACCTTTACACACTGCCTCACACTACAGAGTCTCACATCCTGGAAGAATATAATCTTCATAGCCACTGCTGTGAGAACCTCAAGTCTTGCATGTTATGACTACTTGCAAGTACATATTATTCAAGATCTACCAGCATAAAGAGTAACCAGCCAATTAAAGTGGCCATGCGGTTTAAGGCATGAAATGTCTTCGCTCGTTCAAACACTGGGATCATGGGTCAGAATCCCACTTGAGGCCTGGATGTTTGTCTGCATTTATTCTGTTTGCGTTGGGAAATGGTGAGGAAATGTAAAATCTTCAAATACAGATTCAGGTTTTGCTGAATTAAAGAAAAAAAAAATATATATATATACTGGTGCAAAGAAAAACTCACCCTGCACGTTTGCTTTCTTGGTATCTCTGTCATCCTTGCCATGTCCCTGAATAACAGTTTCAATATATTTGTCCAGCATGGCATAAGGAGAATACCTTGGAAACAGTTCAGTGTGATGGCACAATGGAGCTGGACTTGGTGCTGTGCTTGCTTTCATCTCTCCATTGTGGGTCTGAGCATGTTCTACTGGAGGAAAGGCCCCCAGAAACAGATGTTCATATGGCAGTGGACTCCAGTGATCTACAGTCTGTGTACTTGCTGTTGCCATTTGCTTCATAAAGGTTACACTAGCAAATTCTTGGGACAACTGGTCGTTTTCTTCTTCTCTTCCATTGGTTGTATGTGGTTGCTCGTTAACATCTAAGTTTGACAATGCTCCTTCTAAATCTTCTAGTTCTTCTTTTTCTTCTAAAGTTCTACCTATATTAGCTTCAGCTCCAGGTAGCACTGGGCCCCTCTTCATATCAGGGCAGGAATTAGCTCGCTGAACACGGGAGTGGAGCAAAGCAGCAGAACCCTCACCAGGGCTGCTACCTGTACTGAAACCAGCTAAATATGATCTTTCTGTATCTGTGGTGCACTGACTGTAACATCGCTGGCGATGCTGCTGATGAACTCGATGAGCAAACTCTCTCATGGAACGGCTAGTGGGCATGTGGAGACCACCTGATGTGCAAGGAGAACCACTCTCCTGCTCACACTCTTCATAATCATCCATATGAGGAGGATGAAACTCTTCAAGTACACTATCACACTGCCTCTGTGATGATGGCAATACACTCTGAAATGAACATAAGACTCATCACGATCACCAAGACAGCCCATCTACTGCCCTTATCTTGAGCAAGTTTTAGCATGTTTACAAATAATTTCCCAAAGAGTCATTTCAACACATGATTCTCCACTTAAGAACATATCAAATTCTCACAAGAATTACCAATCAAATTCTGTATACTGAAGTTTCACCATTCATGGCTGAACAATCTCGATCTCTTGATTTAATCACTGTAACAGGTGATAGGTTACACAATATTATCTACTCATTGTGCTCTCTCCTTGGAAAGTACAGCCCTAGAGGAGATCTGGTGGAGCCAAAACAGAAGTTTGGTTTAAAGAAATAGTCTATTTTGTAAAAAGGTGGCTGAACAAACATGACATACATATCTACACCAATTTTCGTGTTAACGTATTTTTTGGTTCAGTGAATAAATCATGACATTTAATTATACATGCTGAAGAGTTAATCACAGTAAGCAAAACAGATAAGCAGGAGCTGCAGAAATGGAGTTGCCACATTTCAAAGTAAGAGTTCACAGTAAGTCAGCCAAATGAGCTAATATCAGCATTTTAAGAAATCTGAGTGAATTCAACTGCATAAAATAAAGTACATTATATTCATACTGATGGTTTTGGTTGTATGTCTATACTCCATTGTTCCCCATACCTCACAATTTAATATCAGCATTTTAAGAAATCTGAATGAATTCAACTTCATTAAATAAGAAAGTACATTCTTACCGACCATTTTGGTTGTGTATCTATACTCCATTGGTCTCTCTGCCTTACAATTTACTATCAGCATTTTAAGCAATTTGCATGAATTCAACTGCATGAATAAGAAAGTACATTATATTGTAACATGTCTTTGCTACTGAAGATGCCGTTCAGATTTTTAATTGGTTTATTTAACAACCTACAAGTTGTAACTACAATTGATTATAACACTCTTGCGGGTTTACACACTTTACAAAGCTTACACAGTAATCTCTTCACTCTCTCTTCAGTAGTCTTCACGTACTTATAACGCGGGAACTATACAAGTGTCACTGAATTACACACTCCCGATACCTTCTCAGTTATCACAAACTACCACTGAGTATCACACATAAACTCTTCTAATCACGTGTCCAGTTCTTCTTCTTCCACGGCTGCTATACTTCATCTGACTTATGACATGACCAGTTTTCAGTCTTTACACATTTTCTTCTTCGGTTCTCCAACCGACATCACTATGGCATCTTCTACGGGGACCTTGCCGCCTCACGTTTCCTGTCCACTGAGGTCAGCTTTTCCTCTTCTGGACGTGCTTCCATCTTTTGAGAGGCCATCATCTTTGCGTCCATTTCGGGTTTGATTTCGGCCACCATCTTCTTGTGGCTGGCTCCCATATTTTCTCAAATGGCCTTTGTCCTTTCTTTGATTGCTTCCATTCTCGCTTGGATGGCTTCCGTTTCTATGGCAATCTTTTCTCGGCAGGCTTTTCTATCGGTGTCCGCCTTCGCCTGGTTGACGTCTGCTTCTTCTTTGCCACTTTTGATTTCCTTCAGCAGGGGTTCCGTCATCTGCTGTACGTCCATTTTGCGGCAGTATAGTACTCGATGCACTTGTAAGCTCAATTATTCGTCAATGCATGTTCAAGTTCGTAAACAATTATGACACCAGTGTAACGTTCTTTTGCTACTGAAGACGGCGTTCAGATTGTGAACTGGTTTATTTAATAACCTACAAGTCGTAACTACAATTGATTATAACACTCTTGTGGGTTTACACACTTTACAAACCCTACACAGTAATCTCTCCACTCTCTCTTCAGTAGTCTTCACGTATTTATAACACGGGAGCTATAAAAGTGTCACTGAATTACACACTCCCAATACCTTCTCAGTTATCACAAACTATCACTGAGTATCACACATAAACTATTCTAATAACGCGTCCAGTTCTTCTCCCACAGCTGCTATACTTCATCTGACTTATGACGTCTTCTTCGTGTTCACAATTCACTCGCTACAACTGAACTCAGTGATTACTAACTTCCACTCCACTGAATATGCGGCGCACTAACTGGCTTTGGCTGATGCTACCTTTCAACTAACTGCTTAAGCATTCCAGTTCCTCTTATAAACCCTCAAGTTGGACAGCGGAAAACCCACCTTGTTTCACTGTTGCGTAAACGCCATGTTTACAGGCGTTGCTGGGGAACACTGCCAAAAGTTATTGCGGCATAGCAACCAGCACACTTCGGCTTGGTTCGGCTCACTTCAGCTCTACTTGGCACGGCACAGAGAAACACCACTTTCCTTACTGTTGCGTAACCTCATTTCCACTGCTGCGTACCTTGGCAACCGACCATTTATCAAGGGTCTGTCTTCATGGTAACTTGTTCCACCTCCCGTTGGCCAGCAACGGTTAGACATGTCACAATTTTATAAAAAGTTAAACAGTTCCATCCAGTGTGGCTGGTGAAGATTTTTCTTATTTCAATTCTTCATGCCCTTACATGTTTCAGTCTTTAAGAGACCATCATCAGAGGGACATCAATACAGTTGGAAGCTACTGTATGTTCTGAGCGTTAAAATATATATGTAATGTTGATAATATATGATTGGATATAAAATATAAAGTTTTTACAACTACAGCGGTTGTCTTAATATATTAAAATTTTTGTAATTGGTTTGTTAAGACTTTGTTAGAATTTATAAACCAAGTAGGTTTGTGTCTTCTTTCTTATTACTTCTCTTAATGGGGGCCATAATAAGAAAGAGGACACAAACCTACTTGGTTTACAAATTCTAACAAAATCTTAACAAACCAACTACAAAAATTTTAATATATTAAGACAACCGCTGTAGTTGTAAAAACTTTACATTTTATATCCAATCGTATATTATCAACATTACATGTATATTTTAACACTCGGAACATATATTGTAATAGTAACTTCCAACTGCATTGATGTCCCTCTGATGACAGTCTTTAAAGACCGAAACATGCAAGGGCATGAAGAACTGAAATAATAAAAATCTTCACCAGTCACACTGGACGGAACTGTTTAACTTCTTATAATTTTGTTAGTGTGATGGACCAGAATGAAACAAATCAAAGGTACATTATATTCTTACCGACTGTTTTGGTTGCGTGTCTATACTCCATTGCTCCCCCTGCCTCACAATTTCTAAAACCTCTTGATCCTCTTGGGAGCTGTCTAGGTGTGATGACACTGTTCCGGATGTTTCGGCAGAATCAAACCTAAATCCGTTCTTTTCTGGCACGGGCTTGGCAACCAACCATTCCTTTCCTCCTGGAACTGGGGCAGTAGGTTCCATATGTACAGGACTATTAGGGATGCTTATTTCATTAGCAATGCTGCGGAGAGGACTAGTAGGCGGAACCCCAGACATCTTGGATCGAACGTTCAATGCTAAAGAATCTATTACCTGAAAAACATAAGTGAATTTTACAAATCTAGAATGAGAAAGTTTCAGTACACTCATATAACTACAAAGAGTACATACAAAAACACTTGTTAGTCAGTGTCGTGTCATTCACATAACAGCCTGAGAGACCTTGTTGGTAAAGTAATAAAAATGGTTGGAATATGGCAGGAAGGAGTCTTGGCCTACAAAGAAAGGCTCCATAATTTCAGGATAGGAATTTAATATAGCCCAAACAAATTCCACCAAGATAAAATTATGTACACACGAGGGGGTACCCAAAAGAAACCGAACTATTTTTTTTTAAACTTATTTATTCAAATTTTAAGCACAAACCTTCAATCCCCTTCAAAGTACTCTCCATTTACACTAATACACTTGTCTAGTCTTTTATTCCATTTTTCAAAACATTGTCTAAATTCATCTTTTGAGATGCTTGACAGCGCCTCCGTCATTTTTTCCTTCACCTCAGCAACATCAGCAAAACACTTTCCTTTCATGTCTCTTTTCATTTGAGGAAACAAAAAAAAGTCGCACAGGGCAAGGTCGGGTGAGTATGGAGAGTGAGGAACAGGGGTCATACCATTTTTGGTCAAGAATTGTTGTACAGACAGGGCTGTGTGAGCAGGGGCATTGTCATGATGAAAAAACCAGTCACCCGACTGCTCCAAGTCACTCCCGACAGCTCCACAATTTCTTCAATGGTCCATCATCGATCTTCCTTGATGATTTCACGAATTTTTTCAACATTTTCATGTGTTCGGGCCGTGGAAGGACGACCAGAACGAGGTTTGTCATCAATTGACATTTCACCATTTTTGAAATGGGAAACCCACTCAAGCACATGAGTTTTCCCCATAGCATCGTCCTTGTACGCCGTTTTTAACATTTCAAGAGTTTCTGTTCCACTTTTCCCGAGCAAAAAGCAGAATTTCATCGCCGCAGGAAAATCAGCCATTGCAAAAACGACGTTCACACAAAACAGTTGTCACTATAAACTCTGCCGAAACTAGTCCTTACCTTCTGAAGCAACGGTAGTCAGCTTATCAACTCAGGAATGTTAGCTCTATGCGCTCACAGCGGCAAAACGCGGTACTACAAAAGCTCTGCCCACAAAAAAATCAGTTCAGTTTCTTTTGGGTACCCCATTAGGTACATAGGTACCTTTTGTAATTACAATTCAACATTCATTTTAAACAGTTCAGATACTTGGGAACGACGATAACAAATCGAAACCTGATTGAGGAGGAAATTAAGCGGAGACTGAACTCGAGTAATGCTTACTACCATTCAGTCCAGAACCTTTTGTCTTCTTGTCTGCTGTCCAAACACATAAAAATTAGAATATACAAAATTATAATTTTGCCTGTGGTTCTGTATGGGTGTGAAACTTGGTCTCTGACATTAAGGGAGGAACATAGACTGAGGTATTTGAGAACAGAGTGTTGAGGAGAATATTTGGATTGAAGAGGGATGAAGTGACAGAAGGTTGGAGAAAACTGCATAATGAGGAGCTTGATAACTTGTCCTCTTCTCCAAGTATAATTAGAATGATCAAGTCAAGGAGGATAAGATGGCAAGGGCATGTAGCACGAATGTGGAGGAGGAGGAATGCATATAGGATATTGGTGGGAAAGCCAGAAGGAAAGAGACCACAAGGAAGACCAAGACATAGGTGGATGGATAATATTAAAATGGATATTAGAGAGATGAGATGGGATGGGATGGTATGGCCTGGATTCAGCTGGCTCAGGACAGAGACCAGTGGAGGGCTCTTGTGAACACAGTAGTGAACCTTCAGGTTCCATAAAATGCTGGGAAGTTCTTGAGTGGCTGCACAAATGGCGGCTTCTCAAGAACAGCTCAGCTCCATGAGTATGGTACAGTACGGTGCATTCATTATGAAAACATTTTCTTAAATATTTTTCTTTATGGTAAGACAGTCTTAAAGAATATCTCTAAGTTAATGCTATAACAAACCGAAACACTTTACAGTAAAAAGAAAGACCAAATTAAGTTTATTTAATTATATATTTAAACTTTATTCAGCTATGCCCTCCTTATTTCAGATTAAATATTGCCTAATGCCAAAATGATTTATGAAGAATGAATTGGAAAGGATGAATATGTGGAGAAGAGAAAAATTTATTGCCCATTAGGAACTTAACTAAGATCATTTAACCCATAGCATAGGTGCTATACTGACTGAGCTATGCTGGCTCCTGAACTTTGATTAATACAATTGAATTCATATTTATGAAATATTAATCAAAAACATGTTAAGATGGCAAATTTGAAGAAAAAAAGAAAGAAAATTAACCACACAATTACAATGAAAATTTTAAGAACTCTCCTCACTGTCCTGAGACAAAACTGGAACAAAGGTGAGGGGTAGTCAATGAGAAAGATAAATTTTACAAATTTATATAAGGTAAATTCCAATCTAGAAAACCAAAATTAACAGCCATGGGGATTCGTTGCACCGACCACACGACACCCTCTATCCGCTAAAGTTGTCATTAACTTCACTGACAAGTGGCAGTCGCTCAGTCGGTATACTTCGCTTGCAGACTAAAACCACAGAGTTTATTTATTTATATAATGTAAACTTTTGAGCTCATGTACAAAGCACCTATTTTAACATGAAGTCTTAAAGAAAACCCAATTTATATTACTTCCCAGCACTTCAGTTAACCACAAGGTAATTAACACCAAATTTTTGCTTTCCTTAACAAAAATGTTGATCTAATGTTTTCTATTTCTTTCCTAAGTTCAAACATTCAGACATTTTGTAACAACAGTAACCAATCAGAATTTGATTAATGGGGAAATTCACAGCAGATTGAATTCAAGTAATACTTGCTACCACTCAGTTCAGAACCTTCTGTCTTCTAATCCGCTGTCTAAAAATGTGAAAATTAAAAACACTACAACTTTGCCTGTAGTTTTGTATGGATATGAAACTTGATTGCTCACATTAACAGAAGAACACAGAATCAGGGCATTTGAGAAAAGGGTGCTGAGGAGAATATCTGGGCTGAAGAGGGATGAAATGGTAGGTTGGGGTGAAAAACCTGGATAATGAGGTGTTTCATTACCTGTACTCTGCACCAAATATAATTATAACGATCAAGACACGGAGGATGAGCACATAGGATTTTGGTAGGAAAGCCAGATTTATAATGTTAAAATGGTTTATGGATAAACAAGATCGGGTGGTACGGAGTGGATTCATCTGGCAACCAGTGGAGAGCTCTTGCGAACATGGTAATGAACCTTCATGTTCCATAAATGTTGGGAAATCGTTGCATAGCTGAGTGACTGGTAGCTTCTCAAGTAGGGCTCAGCTCCATGGAGTTAGTTATTAATGTATAACATTTCTTGCAGTGGTTTATTAATATCATAAAGCTGAGAAGAGAAATGTCTCATCGTAAACTGTTAGCAGGTCAATGTGCACACATACCATATCTGTGCATCAGGAACAATATGGTGAAAGAACCAAGTATGATTACATGATGTTTCATTCTTTGTTACTGTATATCTATTATACGAGTCAGTTAAATAAGATAAGTAGAAGGAATACAGCTTCTGAGAGAGAAAAAGTAGAATCCAAGGAAAGAGCAGAAAACAAGAATAGATGGAGCAGAATATAATTACTAATTTTACAAAGTGATCCAGTAACCTGAATTCGATCCTGTTGTATTCTCTGTATTTTCTGTGAGAACAAAGAATCACGACGCTCGAAAGCTGATGGCATAGAATCCCGTTGCGGTTGCTCAAATGCCGATTTGGAAGAATTACTGCCTTCTGGAGGGAACCGGAAAGGTGATGGTTCCTTTTTCATGGGGGATGAAGGTTGAGACTGGGCAGGAGTTGAGCTGCCAGATGTCACTCCTGCCCACTTACTGCTACTGAATGAGGTAAGAGCCCGTGCCACACTTGAGTTTACTGGAGGGTGTCTTCCCAAGTGTCTCATATCCTTCATGAAAACACAATTATATAAAAATATCTTGCAGCTTAAACAAATTCTAAAGGGCACTGACAATGGTGTATTAAATTTAGTATTATTAGTATCCTAAACTTCATCCACCATCTTATATTTTAAAAACAGGACCATATTTCAAGAGCTGATCTATTCCAATCATCAGGTGAAGAAGTCTGTTACAAAATGAATTCCAATCAATGGATCCAATGATCAGGATTTGCTCTTTCTAATGAAGCAGAACTAGTGGGTATCCCTACTGGAGAACAGCAGCAGATCCAGCTCCTGCAATACTGTATTCTTCATTCCATGACAGACAAAGCTTAGGGAACTAGTAACACTAAATCTTGTTGCACATGAACTTAAGAAGAGGTCATACCCATGCATAAATTTGCATCTTGCAACTACAAAAACCTTCAAATGTCATTCTCAAAAATTTGATTAAAAGTAATATAAAAATAGTACTAACACACTGCATAACTTCTTCATAACCTTACTCTAGTACTCATAAAAATGCATATCATCCTTCTTTTTACAATATCATGCTATCAGTACATTTCAATTACAGTTCTACACTGTGGCTCAAAAGTCACACAACTTGGCACCAAGCATTTATTAATCTGTGACTAGGTGATGCTACATGATTATGTGTACAACAGTTGAGACTCAAGTTTTTAAAGACATTGTGTCATGATGGCTGAAAGCCAGAATAGTTTAATAAGAAGAGGTGACCATTGCTAAACAAAAGCGTGGTAAACATGTTTCCATAGCAAAAAAAATTAACACTCAACAACATAAGAACTGTTGGAAGTGATGTTTTCTATGCGGTCTATGCCGAGGCTGTATAGCAAGCACTAAAGGGAAAAGTTGGTCAATCAGAGGTTGGAGTCAGTGGTTTGCAGTCTTGAGTTGCAACGTTAGGAGCTGCTACCTAGCAATGACCAGTGAACAACAGAAGACTTTACGCATGCTGTAGGTGTAGTGACCTACAGAGTGTAAATTACTGAGACTGTTATAGTTATTTGTAGTGACAGGTTGTGTTTAATAATAAAACCAGTTATGAAGACCAACTCTGTGGTCTACAGATCCAGAGGCCCCGGGTTCCATTCCCAGCGCTACCAGATTTTCTGAGAAGGGGGTCCACTCAGCCTCACGAGGATAAATAAGGGGCTACTTGAAAGGAAAAGTAGCAGCTCCGGTCTACAAAACCAAGATTAACGGCCATGGGGATCCGTTGCACTGACCACATGATAGCCTCTATCCACTAAAGTTGGCACTAACTTCCCCAACAAGCGGCAGTGGCTCAGTCGGTATAGTTCGCTTGCAGACTACAGGCCACGGAGTTTGTTTGATTTTCTTATCAATCCTGACCCATTCTTAGTCAGTAACACATGACAGTGCTGTGAGGAAATCAGCCTAACACTGTCACTGTTTGTTAACAACAGCTGCAGACTGTTAGTTCCCCATACATAGCATGTGTTCATATCTGAACATTATTTTGCATCCCGCCCTAAGTACAAATCCAAAGACAGTTTCAGGAGACATATCCCAGTTCTTGAGAACCCTTTTCAGTCTTATTACCACAACATTGTGACCCCCAAAGATATCTCGATTTAACTTCTACCTACTTCTATTTTTGGGGTTACATAAGAATAGGTACAGGAAGAACAAACCAACAATCATACCAGAACAACATAAATGTGAGAAATGTTGTTTTCATTTTAAAAAATGAGCATTGGTACTTCATGCTCATACCTTGATAGGGGTTGTTTCTGGGGTAGCTTCAATGGCTGCTTCTGGCGGGGATGTACCTTCCTGATGAGGCACAGAAGAACTTACAATGTAGCTCTTGAATGCGAACACACATAAATTAAGTTAAAATTTGCAAGAAAATTTTTATGTGGAGAGAAACACAAGCCTATTAAAACACAGAAAAAAAAACTTAAAAAATAAGAATCCAAGTGCTAGCACACAGAATATACAGGTTCCAACATGACTTGGCTATATGCACAGAAATACAGTAACCAAACCCAAATTACCTACATAAATATCAGATAGAACACTGCTGCTTCGATGAGTTTGCTTCCTTACACCCTTTCCAATACATATTTAACACTTCATCTTGCCTGACACCATGTAACCTTAGAATAATTCATTATTCTAGGAATGAATAAATAAAAAATGTTATCAAGTCTACCAAGTATAAAAAATGTTTTCAAGTCTACCAAGTGGATATTTTGCATGATTTCCATGACTGTCAGTAACCAGAATATACAGCATCAAATGGTGGGATGACTGATGAATGATGAATTGAAAAAGATTTGGAACTGGCTGTAGCCTAATTGAGGTACTATCCCAGCATTAGCCTGGAGGAAGTGAGGACAACCATTAAGAAACCTCAGTCAAGATATGTGGTGGCCTGGATGGGATCCAACTTGAGTTTCTCTCACAATATAAGAAATATGGAAGTGCTGAGTGCTAGAGGCATACTTTCAATAGGTGCCTACTGAATTTCAAATAAGTCAGCATGGAAAACAAACTAACACGTTTTCTGTGCATGCCCTTTTTTATTTCATGCAGAGACTTTATTTAAAGAAACATGCAGCTGGGTCTAACCCAAAACAAATGAAATCTGAGCTGTGAGAGAAAATGAATGAAAAGCTACCCCTTGCATTAAGCATGTAATTAAGCACTATGCCATGAAGGCATACGGAGTGAAGGGTATTGCTTCTTGTCCTTGGCACTACATGGAGCTGAAGTGTTCAGCTTCACATCTCTGCTACTTTACCCCTTGGGACAGCCCTCACTACCCATTGGATATGAGGCTAGGTGAACCCCAGAGCTGATCTGGATGCTACAGAGAAAATAAAAACCTCTTGCCACAGCCAGGAATCAAACTTTGGTCTTTCAGCCTGTAACCTAGCTGCTATACCAACTGAACTATCCTCACTGTGAGAAAATGAATAGTGGTAATAAAAGTTTTATAACAAAAATTCACCTGTGAATTTGGAGTCTGTGGTATGGAGGTAGGAACAACTTCTTGTGGTGGTGGTGTGTCCATGCCACAGAATATACTGGGGCTCCAATCTTCTTTTTGTGTCACCTGGCTGCTTGTGGGATTGAGGCTTGGATTTCCTTTAATTTGATGCTGGTACGCTGACTCTAAATTGTAATAACATAACTTTAATATTTAATAGAGAACTCACAAAAACTCACATGTAATTTATCAGTGAATACCTGCATCAACAGCGGTAGCATATTACTTCTATTTCAAAATTTACAGGTAACACAAATTTTTTCTTCAATGCCACTCATTTTATGCCTCTCAGAGCAACAACAAAGCTGATGACAGCTGTCCAAGAGACCACAAACATATGCTGTTGATGGACCACAGATTACAAAAGTAGAAACATTGCTACCTGTATTATATTCTGGTTTAATAACTAGAATGTTACCCTAACAAAAGCACTACATTATATGAATATTATGTTGGACAGTATCCAATATCGAAAGCATATTTCATATATATATTTTGTATAATGAATCAAACATTATTACAGATTTTCAGAGAATCATAAATAATACAAAATTTCATGCATTCAGAGAAAACACACACTTAAGATTACATTAATTATAATGTGATAATAGTACACAGATGTTCACCATTATAAAAGCAGATGTGTTCAAACTACTCTGCAGTGACAACTGAAGTTGGAGAGATCCACATCTAACCTAACAGTATCGAAGGGTCTTTTTTTTTATTGCTAGTGGGGTGGGACTAGGTCCCTTGTACTGCAGCCACTCCTGGCCTACTGTACCAGCTCCAGATGATAAGTGAGGGTGATTGTGGAGCCATTGGTGGAATGAAGATTGGCAGGGAAAACTAAAGTACTCGGAGAAAACCGGCCCCCACGCCACTTTGTCCACCACAAATCCAACTTGACCAGATCCGGGATTGAACCCAGGCCATCGCAGTGGGAAGCCAGCGACTAACCGCTTGTGCTATGGCGCAGCCTTGTCGAATGGTAGTTAGTTCCACATTAGGAGATTTGATGAAATGTATTTTTAAAACCAACATGCAGAAAGACTGGTTTAGAACTATAAACTCTCACAGTCTCAGCTCCTGTGCTCACAAACAGAGGGCTTACATGCAAAAGAAACAAGCTTTATCATGTGTCAAAGTTGCAAACAGAATAATAACCGTCTCCAAACTCTCCTGTACAAAAGAAAATACAGGCTGCACATTGAACAGTCCCACGACAGATGAAAATATATAATACATGTCTCAGATAAAATTTTGATAATGATCATCTGTTGAAAAAGGCAAGAAATGTCAGTTTAAAATGTTGAATTTGATCATCATAAATCCACCACATTGTTTTTCATACCCATTTCTCACAAATATTAATATTAATATTAAAACACATTCAGGCAAGACTGTGAATCCTGGCAACAGCACTCAGACAAATCTATGATTACCAGGGCCCAGATTTTGATGACATGTCATCTTTTTTTCCTTGTATCCTATGCGATGCTCTTAAATATATAAAGCTCGGATATGAGATGCTGGTTATAGAAATGTAAATTTTGTAAGTAATTTTTTGACATTTTTAGGTTTAAGGTCATTTTTTCATTTTGGGGGTAATTTTTTGGTAAATTTTTGGACTTTTAAGGGTATTTCTTGTCATTTTTGGCCATTTTGGGGAATTTTTCTTCATATGTTTTCTGAAATGTGAATAATATGGAAAGTCATTTTTCTGGATTATTTGGTCATTTTTTAAATATTTTCAGGTCATCAAAATCCGAGCCCCGCATATTACATTTTTGGGTCATAATTTAGGTCATTTTTCTGGATTTTTTTGGTTATTTTATAGGTCATGTTTTAAATATTTTCAGGTCATAAAAATCAGGGCCCTGATGATTACAATATAAGTGAGTTCCTTGCACTGCAGAATACCAAGTCTGAAGTTACCTAAGCTGCTGTGCTCTAAACTGTAACGCTTTCTTGATGTTGGTGGGAGGCCTTGATGGCTGACTTCTTCCCGAGGTCTTTCCAGAGTATCCAATGAGGCAAATTTTGCACATTCCAAAATCACATCATGGTGTTCCATCTTCATCCACCTGCATTTGAATGAGACAGATATTAAACACACTGTATTAATCACTTGCATTCACTGGCAGCATGTAGAAATTATATGGCCAAAAATTTGGTTTCTGTGCTGTGAACTGACCTGCTTAAAGATATTTTTTTATTATTACAGATCCTTAACTAATTAAAATAGAGTTAATTCACACAGAGGGAAAGCAGACAAATTATATTTACACTGGTGGCACTACACAATTTCAGTCTTTAATTGGAATAGCTGAATTCCATATCTGAAAGAAAGAAAAAGAACCGCTGTACCATACTGATTTACTATACTTTTAAATTTGAGTGTGCTTACCAAGTTTTCATTTCACAGTTCTTTCAATTTAATTACTAGTTCCAATTTTAACAGCACCTCACTGATTGTGATTTAATGACAATTTAAATTTTCAAGACAAATGATGAATATGGGAAGTTTACACAAATGCACTGTAACAAACAGAAACTAATCACAAATTGTATTTTAATTTCACCAGAAGACAGTGTCCCATAATGCAAAGACCATGTCTTGTGTCAGTTCAAATCAAGCCATGAACCTGATGCTTGTTAATACTTCATGTTCTTACCCAAAACATCCAAGCTGCAGGTTTATGCATATGACAGAAAGTGACTGTTATCAGTCGCACACTGGTAGCTAGCTATAAAATTTTTACGGTCAAATGTAACTTCAGTGACATACCCGAAGCACACACCGAAATGAGAGATACAGTTCCTCATCAAGCCATTCCAATTTGTTGTTTAAAACCAAACTGTCAATTAAGATACAGCAGTGTGATGATAATGTCATACCTGGAATTATTAGAAGTTAACGAGATCAAAAGAACCTGCAGGGTTAAGAATCCCTCCTGCTTCTGCAGAGTCCCTTCTTATCATACCAAAATATGAACTTCCATTTAATGGGTACAATTATGAACATATGAAGGAAATCATTTTTGTAAGTTTCCATGAATAGCAGTAATTATTCAGAAGGTATATACTCAGTGCAGGCCTTCCCTTAAAAAATAGAAGTGTATGAAAATGTATATTGTGGCGTGTTAAATGTCATCCATCGCTGAGCATTGAAACACTGGAAATTGCTGAGACTCTCACGTAGGAATACCCATAGGAATGAGTGTTCATTGTGCAACAATGCTCAGTAAACACCCCTGTCGCTGGCTTCCCACCATGGTGACCCGGGTTCGATCGCGGGTCTGGTCAAGTGGGATTCATGGTGGACAAAGTGCCACTGGGGCAGGTTTTCTCAGAGTACTTCGGTTTCCCCTGCCGATCTTCATTCCACCAATTGCTCCATAATCACCCTCACCTATCATCTGGGGGTGGTACAACAGGCCAGAAGTGGCCGCAATACAAGGGACTTAGTCCCACCCCACTAGCAATAAAAAAACACCCCTCCTCGCTAGGCTGTGACATCACACAACAGTAGGGCCAGATGGATGAATGGACCCAGTGTCATGACGGGTGCCGAGGAAGAATGGTTGTTGCTCATAGAAGGATGAGCCACTGTGCAACAGTGACACGGCGAAAGCAGAAGAGAAGTGAAACAAGGATATCCTGTCGCACAACAGTGACACGACACAAGAGAGGCATCGTGAAGAACCTTACTCAGGGAGCTGGAGGATCCCAGAGGAAGCGATTGGTCATAGCCGACAAGGAGATGAACTGCTGTGCAAATGTGGCATAGCACAAGACACTCAGACTTCAGGGAGATCAGTTGGAGTCACGCACAAGTCCACATGAGGATGTGTCAAAAATAACACAAGTAGAACTTGAACGTGGGAGGATGACATAAGAATTTGTTGTGAAAGGAAAAGTAGTAGAACAATACAATAAGGAGACTGAAAAAGCAATTCGAGGCATGTGCAAGTGTACAAGCAGACATGCTACACGGAGTCCCGACAAATACGAACACCAAACACTGGACACTGTGGAGGGGTAGGCCCCCTCCAAAACGAAAAAGAAGCATGAAGCACAGCGAGGGTGAATGAGTGATGAATGAATGAGAGACGACAGGAATGAAAAGTTCTGGACCATGGGAGTGCTCAGGTTGAGCACCGCGGAAGGAAAGGGCGGATGCGGTAGAATGAACACTGAAAAAGGACATGCGAAGAACGGCAAGAACAAATGCAGACATTGCCAGCAGAACACCAAGGAACACCTGAAACAGACAGTGGTGCACCAATAGGTTACTCAGGATGAACAGCCTTAAGGAGGGAGCAATGTGGCATGTTATATGTCGTCCATCTCTGAGCAACGAAACAATGGAAACTGTTGATACCGTTGCATAGGAATTTCCACAGCAATCCGTGTTCATTGCATAACAATGCTCGGTAAACACCAGGCTGTGACGTCACACAACAGTAGGGTGTCTATTGCATAGGTAGACACACCAGACAACGATACCTGATATCTGTTGCCAAGCAGCAATGTGTTCTCTATGTGGTCCATGCCGAGCCTATATAAAGAGCAGCAAACACTATTCAGGAGTGAGTGAGTATTCAGTATAAGTTAGAGTCTGAAGAGAGTCGCCATCAAAGGCAGTCTAGTATTCACCGAGATATAGTGGAAGCAGTAATTGTGATACTGCAAGTGATAGTAACTTTATTCCTGACTCTAAGTAAGTGTGGATGAATGAGTTCAATAAATAATCGCTGAATCCGAAGGCTACATGTTATTTTTTGCGTGACATAGGCAACACATGATAATATATTTATACTGTATACTACAGAGAAGTTCATTTCTCCATTTGCTGTCTCATTACAACCTGCCAGATTGTGAACAGCTTCTTTTCTACACATATTATTGCATGGATCTAAACAGAGGTACCACCTATGCTAAATAAACTTTTCCAGTGAAGCCACTTTACTTGCCTGATATCACAATGACTGCTGGAAATGATGTCTTCCAACAACCAGTCATTTTCCACACTTATGTAAGAAATTCTGTGACGTACAGAAGGTGACCTTCTGTGATTACTATGATAGCATTCTGGAATTCAGTCTATAAAGCACAGACTTACTGAAAACATTTACTGAGCACAGATATAGCTGCAATTAGATCTCTGTAGCAGCATCAGAAGGAAGTCAACCAGTACCTGGTGCCCCATTCTATGAACAGGTAGTAATAAAACCACAAACGACAGAATGAATTTCTGTGTATCTGTATTGTCAAGTTCATATATTATGTTTTACTTAATTGTACTGACGTTTAATTTAACAAAAAAATTTCAATAATCATTGCAGTTAATCACAGGTGATGCTCTCATTGCAATGTGAACTAATATCATACTAGCCTGAATATTAGGCAACATTTATTTCTTGAACACAGCTTCTCAGAAAAGTGAGGCTGCCTTATATTCATATCCTTTAGAATAAACATGAAGATGATGATTATGAGGGATTCTGTTAATTATAATCATATTTGTGAAAATTCCTACAATTATATTTAAGGTATTAAATTTTGGACATCCTCTTTCTTGGTAGTATAATTTCTACTCCTTTTTGCTTACAACCCTCAGAGCTAAAGGATATATCAAATCTTGAAAACGAAACTTTCTTTTCTGATTTTCTTATTGGAAAATTTGGAGGTCATCCTGTATGGTAACATATAAGAGGGCTTCATAACTGAAAGATGTTCTACTGTACACCCATGCACCTAAACAAGTGTACTGTTTGACTCAGTAAGTAAGCAAAACTAAGGTATCCCTGTAACAGGCCATGGAGGCCCATAGGATTGTGAGATGCTGAGGTTCCCGCATTTTCTAGATAAGTGGCTCATAGATGGCGGCAAGGTTGTCAGCCCTAGGCGCCAGCTGCCCTTTACCCACAAGAATATTCCTGGTACTCATTTCTGTTAGAGTCTGAGTCAACCCCAGGGCCATAGTGCAGCTGGAAGGATTAGGTCAACTGAAAAAATCCAATTATGTCATCGGGACTTGAACCCATGACCTTCCAGCTTGTAGCATAGTGCCTCAACCAACTATGCTACAATTTGGCTCAGTATATGAAGAAAACAAAACAATGTATTTCCTCCTGCATAGCACTAAATACATATAGTTAAACAAAAAATGCAATAAATATGTACCTGGAAGTAGCTGTTTCTGCATCTTTGGAGGCTGTGACCAGAAGGGGATGCATTTTAACTGTGTCTAACATTGGCTGAAAAAACAGAAAGCTGTCACTTCATTTCATAACACTGCAAGCTTTTGAGAGATTATGTCATAACAACAGGCAATGATAAAATTTTAAAACTCTCCAGTAAAAATATCTCCTAAGCTTCAGTTTAATTTTCATCAATGCTCACAGCTCAACTGTACCGAAGTTGCTGACAAAGCATAAACAAGAAGCAAACAGTACCACATTCTATTGGATCTGAGGTTCTCAGAGTGGTGAATATAAGCACTATCTCTTGAGATGTGACGCTGTGTAGTCCAACAGAAGTTTACTAACATTTGGAAGGAATGTACTGCAGAAGCAACTCTGCCTGCTGATTCCTTGGCTACCCCATTGACCCTAATGAAGGCAGTGTTACATTACACCAAAGTGTCACTGATCTTCTCCTGGACTACATGGCATCACATCCAGAAGATGGCATTCTTAAGTACCACAATCATTCATGGCTTTAAAGCCATGATCTCAGATTAGCCCTGTCTTGGGACCCAAGAGACAAGCTTCTGTCTTCTTATCTTGTTCACCTGTAGAAGAAAACATGAGCCAATTCTGAAACATAATGGCTTTAAACAAACTAGGGCAATGGACAATGTCCAAAAGAATAATCTTAAATACAGCACCACACCATTAATGGTGAACCTGAATACCATGTGTGCTTTCCTGAATTTCTGGTTGGAAATTCAGCATGCCTATAATATTCAAGTGTTACCTTTCTGGTACCTACAATATCAACGTGTTAGCATGTGAAATTTAATTTTACAATACACTGATAACAACTGACTGTCATATCCTTCACATATTTAATAAAGTGTGTAGTCCTGATGAAGATACTAAAACAATGGATATAATGACTTATTACTTCAAAAATAAGGCACCATCAAATTTAAGACACATCCAGTTTTTGAATGTGGGTTTTAGGGCAAAAATTAGAAAGGTGCATATTCCTCAAATTTAAGACTCATCTCAATTTTTCAATGCGAAAAAATGTTTAAATGTACGTCTTACAACCGAAGTAAAACAGTAATTAATTTTTAACATATAAGTAATAAAATGAAGACACCATTAAAATTTTTGTTAATAGTATTGGGGGAACGGAAATTAGTTGTTCTGCATTCCAAAATCAGAATATATACCATTAATGTACAAATATATTGACTACTGCATATCTTGAATAACTGTACCATTCCTTTTTAGATGATCCGCATAAAAGGGAATCCTTCTTGAGAATGACAGTTACCGATAAAATTTCCCACACTCCTGTGGAACCCAAAGAATCATTACTGTGCTCACAAAAGTCCAATACTGGGCTAAGCCCTGAGCCACATAAATCCAGACCTCACCATTCCACTCTACTTCTATAAGATTTGTTTCAATATGATCCTCCGCTTACACCTAGGTCTTCCAAGTAGTCACTTCTCTTCAGATTTACTGGTCAGACTTCTCAAAGCATTTCTCACCTCTCCCATGCATGCTACATAAACCACATATTCTGTCCTCCTCAATTTGATTATCCAAATCTGCATACAAAACTATGTACACATTTCTGTCCGGTCAAATTCGTGACTGAACAGAAGAACCAAAGTTTATGTATGACTGTTCATTTTGAAAGCTAATGTTGATGGAAATAAATGTTTTGTAACAGTGTACATGGTTGGTGAGCATTTGGCTACATAATCACTCGAGCAACACCAGCTGGCAATGTTTTCTTGGTGCATTCCGTAATCCTGCAAGAGTCTGCTTGATAACTTTTCCTTATCCTCTGTTCCTTCTGGCTTGGAGCACAGCACTGCCCATGGCCACCATGCAAAATGGTTCTGGTGAATCAAGAAACTATATAAACAGATATGTCCACCCCTCTATTCATTCTGACAGTGAAGAGCGAAGCTGCAAATATCTATGAAACTCAGTGACACTGCCCATAGCCACACATTACAAAGTCCAGGAGGAGAATCAACATGAACAGCAAACCACCGTGAAAGCCCAAGAACAGTATTTGGCTTACCTTTATCGTGTGACTAAATATACCAAGGTTCTCAATCTGGCCATACTCATGACGCAGGTATGACAGAAAATTGCAAGGATACATCCCATATAAGCGATGAAAAAGGGTGTACAACCCCACCTGCAAGTGTAAAAGATGTTCCTCTGGCAACTTATTGGGATTATTGGTGTTCCATGCAGCAAGACGGCTGAAAAATCAGGATTACAGTGTAAAGATCTGCACAGCATTTTCAAAGTTCAATGTCAGGACTACAAACATAGTAAGAGAAATTTTAGTTTAGTTTATCACAATTCTGCTCTCTATGATAATTGATCAAAATATTATAAACTTCAGTGTTACAAAACATTCAACAGAATGAACAGAAACAAACTTCCATACAGGTGTTTACAACAAATCTAATGGTACAAATATTAAACTATCAATGTAATTGATAAAATAAAAACGTTCTATGTAAAAGTATTTTTATAAATTTGCTAAACTTAACCACCAATACTATACGAAGTGACAGATCCGACTGATGCACATGGAGACAGAAATGTAACAGCTCTTTAAGTCATGCAGAGCACCAAGTTCTTTACTTCTTTTGGCTTATTTTGGACTTCACCCATCGTCCGGTATATAAAAGACAAAAAACCATGACATTTCGGAGACAGATCCAGTCTCCGAAATGTCATGGTTTTTTGTCTTTTATGTACCGGACGATGGGTGAAGTCCAAAATAAGCCAAAAGAAGTACAGTATACACCATCGTCAGAATCCTTTCAAGTCCACCAAGTTCTTAATTAGCTTATAATGACTGTTACTTGTATTATTTGTACTTTCACTTCTTAAGTCTAGACAATATGCACAGTGCATTTCCAGTGAGTAAGAGACACAGATTGTGTGTTAAATTCATTTGCTATAACCTTAAAGATTTGCACTGTTGCCATGTTCGTAATCCTGACATATGCACATTATTTCACGCATCACATGTAGATAAAAAGGGACAAAAAAGAAGGTAAAGTTGTCCCTGTCCTTAATTAAGCATTATGTCATTAAGACATACAGATCCAAATTTTCTTCACCTCAGCAGTAGCTGCAGGTGAACCATCCAGCTTCATGTCCTGTGCCCTTTGGCCTGCAGCAGAAGAGCCCCCTTACCCATTGGATAGGAGGCTGGGTGGGCCCTGAGCTGCTCTAGACGATGTGGTGAAGCAATAAATCTTACTCCTGCCAGGAAACAAACCCCAACCGTCCATCCAATATGCCATCCCTATACCCACTGAGCTATCCTGACTCCTCCTTTGTAGATACATTTACATTCTACCGCCATACAAATTTCATAGGTCTTTCTCTAGTGGTTAGGAACCGGAACAACATAGTCAGTGTAGTGACTGGCTACAGGCTGGACAACCGAGGGATTGGAGTTTGAGTCCTGGTAGGGTCAAAACTTTTCTCTTCTCCATGTCATCCAGACTGACTCTGGGGCTGACCCAGCCTCCTATCCAATGGGCACTGGAGGCTCCATCCCTGGGGGTAAGGCAGCGGAGATGTGAAGCTGACCACTCACTCCAAACAGTGCCGAAATCAAGAAAATGAGATTCTATACATCCACTCCCCCATATGCCTTCATGGCATAGTGCTTAATTAGTTAAGCACATGGACAATTCTACCTTTACCTTTCTCTAATGGTTCATTAGTTACTGTTCTCAAACTAAAAGCCAAAGATAATTTCCACATGGCCAGAATGCTGCTTTTCATATTCCACAGAAGAAAAAGGCACTTCAATCAAGTTGAATATTTGTTAAGACCTATTACCACAAGTAATCTCAGGGCCCTACACTATGTTGTACCAGTGACACAACTTACAAGCTTGTGCATCCACAATGGTGTCATTACTGACTGTGAGAAATTGAAACGGTATAAAGCTGGAGTGGTTTCTAACGTTAAAACACTCACAGACAGCAGAACCTCAATTTAACATTAAATTTCATTCAGTTTCATTCCTCTTAAGATAGTAATCTAAATGTTAAATTACCTCCACTCTCCTCAGTTCAGCAGAAAAATCCAATGCCCCACCCCCACCCCACAAACAAAAATCTGAAATGGGAATGTGATTGTACAAAGATTCATGAAAGTAAATCAAGCAGAACAAAAGTTGAAAGGGTGGAGCCATGCACACACAAACACACACACAGACAGCATAGTCTCATAAGCTTACTTTTTTCCTTTAAGGAAAAGAAAATACGTTAAAAACAATATGAAGAGTTCTATTTTCTGGGACAGAGTGTCATGAAGTCTCTGTAGACCTCTGCTCGCTCCCTCCTTAATGCTCATTTCTTGCTTGGCTTATTCTTCAATTCTGCCAAGACTCAGGCACCATGTTCCTCCAAAATGTTGGTTGATTTTCCACAGACTAAATGGTTTTATACCCCAGAGAACGGAATCATTCATAACCACCACTCTGGGAACCTCAAAAGTTGTCACTATGCTTATTTTTTAATGCTAGTGTGGTGGGACTAAGTCCCTTGTACTGCGGCCACTTCTGGCCTATTGTACCAGCCCCAGATGATGGGTGAGGGTAATCTGGAGCAATTGGTGGAATGAAGATTGGCAGGGGAACCGAAGGACTCGGAGAAAACCTGCCCCAGCACCACTTTGTCCACCACAAATCCCACTTGACCAGACCCGGGATCGAGCCTGGGCCGCCACGGTGGGAAGCCAGTGACTAACCGCTTGAGCTATGGCATGGCCTCATTATGCTTAACTAATTAAGCAGTACACCAAGAAGGCATATGGGGGAGTGGACGTAGAAATCCATATTTTCTCGAACTCAGCACTAGTTGGAGGTGAGTGATCAGTTTCACACCCCGGCCACTTTAGCCCCAGGGAAAGAGCCCCAGTAATCATTGGATACGTGGCTGGGTGGATCCCAGAGCGGGTCTGGACAACCTGGAGAAGAGAAAATTCTTGAACCTACAGGGACTCGAACTCCAGCCCCCTGGTCATCCAGCCTGTAGCCAATCGCTATACCGGCTGCCCTATCCTGGCTCAAATTCTACGTAAAAATAATCTGACTCACAAACTGCAACTCCATACAATCACGTATGCAGGATAATTATAAAATGATACCTGAATACTTCAAATATATCTTGAAGGTAGCCTCCAATTAAATCAGGGATCATAGGAAGAAGAACAATTAATACAAGGAGTGCAGTCATGAGAGGCAGAATGTCAGTCTCCACCTGGAAATCAGAAACACATACTAGTAACTTATATTGTACCCATCTACATTCATGGACTGTTACTGGAGCATCACATGTATATTTGGAACTCTTTATTATCCAGGGTGTTGAAACAAGTCACAAAAAATTTAAAAAACTCAGATAACAAGAAAAATACATTGATATTACCACATTTAATCCCCTATAAAATCCGGTTTTCTTAAACTCTATTTTCATCCAGCAATGGAAATTTTAAAATCATGAATGAAGATAAATGCATTGGAAGTCAAAATTCAATAATTTTGGGGAAAAATAACTCATTAAAATCATCATATTTATTCTTACCAAACCATCTGCATAAAAATTACCACGGTTCTGCTTCTGAAGTACCATTCTTATGATTCTGTATTCGCAATGTCATTCCTTCCGCTAAAAGACAACACTGATGTACAGAAATGGCTTTGGAAATACTGTTCTTATTATATTAATACTTTACACATGTGACTTATTAGGTATGCCACAGTTGCAAGATTCTACACAGTCAGTGGATGCACGCTAATCCTTTTTAATGGTTGCTGGGGCCTAATTTCAGACATAGGAAAGAAGACAGCATTACTGGTCCTACTGAACATTCAAATGTTAACTCACATAATTTGTACTAAAGAGTTATATTTCTCAAGTGTGCATACCAGTAAACTGAAGTTCAATAAACCTCTATAAAAACTATGGTAGACCACATGACAGCAGGAGGGACCTGTGCTAAGCACTGTCCTCATTTGCAAATGCCATATAATGTCTACTGCATATTAGTGATCATGAAACAAAGAGAATAACAATTGTGCAGCAGAGGAAATACAGTATTTCTGAGACCAATGTGTAATGACAAATTTTCACTGGATCTCAGGAAATAAGACACTTGCTTCTCACTGCAGAGGCCTGGTTCAGTCCCAAGCAGAATTCATGTGAAATTCCAAGAGGACAAACTAGCAATGGAGAAGGTTTTCCTTCAAGTTCCTCTGGTTTTCCCCTGCTAATTATCAATCAGTCATTGTTCCAAATTCATCTACCACCACCTCTCAAGGAGTGCAACAGCCCTGACCAGGCAAGACCTTACCACATCCTTGGTTATTATGTTTCACAATTCTTCTCTGACATGGCACTAGGTTGGTTACAGAGTAATAAAATAATTTTTAAATAAGAAAGGGACTGAAGAATGTCATCTTCTCGGATGTAGAGCCGCGTACATCTCATGTGAACCGACATTTCTCCAAAAAGTTGGTTCACACAGGATCTACACAGCGCCACTTCCAAGATGACGGCATTCTTCATAGTCACTGCCATGAAAACCTCAAATCTTACACAAAAGGAATTATTCCTTAAAATCAGTCACTTATCTACAGCTTGATAACCAGATATCAACAGTAGGAACAGAACAATGTTACATATCTAGCATCCCCACAATTCCATGTAACAAATAACATAAGAAAATTGTTTTTCTGCACACATTCAGTTACAGGAGACCAAAATTTGTACACAATTTCAATACTAAAATTTGTTCACATCAGGTTATTAATAACGCCCTAACAAAATTTTATCATTATTGATCAGGTGGACACAATTTGGGCGGGGGTTATTTTGTACCAGTTCTTTATATAGATGAGGCAGCCTATAATAATTTAATGAAAACTGTGGGGACTTAAAACTTTCTTTCTTATAAAGAAGGCCAATGGATCCCAAGTTCGTGGGTGAAGCTGACCACTCACTCTCATGCAATGCCAAAGTCAAGAATGCAAGAAGCTGTACTTCCCTTAAGCATCCATGGTCTTTGCACCAGTTTGTAACATTCTCTTATAAACAATTTAATGAAAGGGTGATATATACTTTTGACAAAAAATTTATTTCATCAAAAATAATCTTAGTTTATGTATTTCTACCTAAACCCTTAAGAAAACTCGATGAGGTCATCAAATTATAAATACAGAACATTCACCAAACCTGGTTACCCATGTTAAACAGAAGAACAGCACATACAGAACACCTATTTGACAATAACAGAAGAATGGCATATACAGAGCACCTGTTTGACAGTCTTTCTAAATTTGGGGTGTATTTATACAATGCTCATCAGTCATCAACCTGAGATCAATTGATGACCACTGTCACAACACTTTCTCTTATGTTACTTGCATGATAAATTTAAAATCAAGCTGCGGAGTATGAAACCAACATATTTCATGTAAGTTTGCTGACAGAGCTGCAATAAGTATGTACCTTGAGTAACTTCAGTAATTCCTTTAGAAGAGAATGGTGAGCAATTTTGTGAAGCCATGCTGGATGCCTTCTCACAATGTGACCCAGTAATGTTAGTGTTTGAAGTTTTGACGAACCTTTTAATGAATCGGACAACCTGTGACAGTGGCATTAAAAATGTATGAGTGACAAATGTACACTAATTAAACTTTAACTGTGGCATTATTTTCACTGTATCTCTCTGCCTGCTACAGAAAAAGCCTATTTACAATCAGGAATTAGAACTACGAAGGGCGCTCCATATATAATGCCTCCTATTTTTTGTGTTAATCTGTAACGTGTGAGCTGGATGTTGGTGGTCTTGTAGTAAAGGTTTAACCTTCCCGCCAATGTACTGTTAGTTTGGTTGTCGTGCGACATATAGTGATAGCAGAGTAGTCTACCAAAATGGCGTCTGACATAGAACCACATACGAAACAGAGATGTGTTACTGAATTTCTCACTGCTGAACAAACTGCACCCACTGACATCCACTGACGCTTGCTAAAAGTGTACAGAGACGATACAGTGGATGTCAGCACAGTGAGGCGGTGGGTAGTGTGTTTCAACAGTGGCAAAAGTGAAGTGCACAACAAGCCACTCTCTGGGCGACCCTGCTCAGCTGCCACTCCTCACAATGAACAGCGCCTCGATCAGCTCATCCATACAGATCAGCAGAT